TGCTGCTGCTGCTGCTGCTGGTATGAATACTCCTATTAGGGTCCTGCAGAAAGGGGAGAAGAAAATCAAACTCTTAAAACTTAACGGCAATAAAGAGTCAAAAGCCAATTTCCTTGAATTTGATATACACAAAGAGATCCTTCTTTGATTCCTAAAAAATATTTTAATATACTCCAACCACCACAGTATAACAGGTGGGAACAGTGTATGCAAGAAATATAGGGAGAAAAGGTTACCATGATCAAAGAATTTAATGAGGCAAACTGTTTTCTTAATCATTGAAAGCATAGTTTTAAAACATTTCAATTCACAAATGTTAACTATGCGCTCTCCTAGAAGATACAAAGACGGATAACACATGGCCTTCACTCTCAATAACTATGATTGACAGTTGTTGGAAGACCCACCTTTTAACTGCTATGACAACCAAAAGAAAGGGATATTTAATTCTTTTGGGGCACGAGAAGAAGAAGAATTCAGAAGTTCATAGAAAAGTAATATTAAATTAGGTCCTGGAGGATAGGAAATAATTACTAGAAAGAGAAGAATGAAATGGTACTTAGAGACCAAGGACCAGAATAAACTAAACAGCAAGGGAGTGAAGCGCTGACTTCATTCGGGGAACTGCATCGAGCTACACACAGTGACGCCAGTCTGTAAACGACTTTGCAATGTCAAGAATCACAAGCACTCAAAAAGGAAATGACTCTCAATTTCAGATAAAAACTATTATTTTTATGCTGTCCAAAGTTCTATCAATTAAGGCATATGTCTCCCACCCATAAGTGTGAAAAAGAAGGAGTCTAACAAAGATTTAACTTAACCATCAAATGGACTGAAGATTTTATCAATTACTTGGAAGAGTTAATTGCTCCTACTTCACTTTAAATGTCAGCAATACTAATATAATATATACTAATATAAACAACTTAAGGTGTGTAACCTCTATATATTCTTTCTGTAGGAACAAAATTCTCAGGCCATACTTACCCTATATGTGAACCTCTATCATTAATAGTAATAATAAGAAACAGAAGTAGATCCTGGACATGCAAAAACCCACCCCAATACTAAAAGAAGAGCGCTTTCTTGCTTACTTCCACCTCCTAATAGAACCAAAGACAAATAAATGTCCAGATTTTCAACTAGAATTTACATCTTCAGGCTTATCATTTTTTATCTCTAACTTACCCACTTAAGCCTCATGATAGGCAAACTAACCCTATGTCCCTTAATATCTAGGATGATACAAGAAAGTCAATAGGTAGGGCATACACTTTTCACTGAAATGAACAATCTAATACTTACTCAATCTATGGGGAAACGAGAAATTATTGCTCTTAGTGGGAATATGTATTTTTTGTTTCTTACATTTTTTGGTCTAATTTGCTCAACAACAAAATGACATATGCCAAATTATTTCACTTGTTTTCTCAAATGAGCATTTTTGCTTCAAAATTATAAAATGGTAAAGTTACTAAAGTGAAATCTTGCTCTTATTGATCAAAAGTGACAATTCGTTACAAAACATCTTAATCTGAGATTTAAAAACAGAATGCTAAAGATAGAATTCATATTACTGAAGCTGCATTATTTTATAAATTCTGTTATAAGACATTTCCTGGCATGTTAAGCAATACTGTGAATAATTAAAATAAAGTATAATGGACAAACTAAATTAAGGAAGAACGTTTTGAAATCTAATAGCCTTGAGGTTTGTTTTTTTTTTTTTTTTTAAATTGGTTTGTTGACTCTAAATTTTGGCAATTTGCAATCAGTAGTCTAATTATGGCTCTAACACACCAAGCACTGCTATTTAATATTCAACCTATGTGGAGTATGACACATATTTTTATAAATGTAACTTCTGAAAATACACTATTTGTAAACTATCAACATATTTCTAATGCTAAGCATTAAAAATAGTAATATTTCAGCACCAGGAAAACAAAACAAAACTTATTCAGGGGCCTTTCCTTGATATATTTTAAAAGCCTTTCTTCAGAACAAGCTGAAATTCTTAACACAAGGTACATAGTGGTATATGAAACAGATTATTATGTCACAGAAATTCTAAGTTCTTTTCTTAATTACATGCATATACAAAACTCGAGAAATACAAGTTCTTAAAACTTTTTATTTTCTGTAGGTCAAGGTACTTAGTGCTACCTTTTCACCCACTCAACAAATCTTGGTACAAGCAAGTGGCCCAACCCTTCTTATTCCTTCTCCTTTTGTAATTCCTACCTCAAAAAGCTTTCTTTAAGCTAAAAAAGAATTCAAAGTCAAGAGGACAAATGCATTCCATAACAATGTACTAGACAAATAAAAATTTAAAAATAACAAAAAGGAGAGAGAATGATTTCTATTATATAGAACAGCATTTCCTTTGGCCTGGGTCTGTGATAAATGACAAAGTTCAAATATATGCCACCAGATTCCATATTCATACATATAATAAATATGAAACAGTTGCTTAAATATATAGTCAGGCATTAAATTGTTTCTGACACAGAATAAAAACTTGCATTGATTACACACACACACACACACACACACACATCTCCCAAACACATTCATATTCTCATTCTCTCTCTCTCTCTCTCTCTC